AGTAAAGAACAAAAAAAAAAAGAAAATGATTAATTGATTAGTCGTCGATTAATCGTGGCAGCCTTAGTGCTAACAAGATTATAATATCAGATTTTTGTTTTCAGTTATGTATCCAGCAAAGGTTTGACTGTCCCTTCTCAGCATAAGACGATCATTTCAAACTCTGGCATGAACATCGGCAGGTGATATGCTTTCCTTCAAGTAATTCCTTTCCTTTCACCACGTTATTCTTGAGCCACCTTTTGTCKGCTGAGGACTTTGTTTGTACTCACAGGTCTCAGTTAAAAGGCTGACAGAAATGTTACTTTTAAAAAAGTTAATCATTGAAGACAAAAAAAAATTGTCAAGCTAAAACAGGGTCTGAATTTTCAAACAAGTTTTTTTTTTTTTTGGTTTTCCTTCTGTTGCTCCCAGAGTGCAAATGAGTTGAGTGGATGAAAGGTTTTCTCTGTTGGAGCCGTTCAGACAGCAGCAGCTTCTGAGGGGAGCTCAGACATGTTCAGACATCAGGGGGAATTTGTGCAGGTATGTCCTCCGAGTGTCTTTGTCCACACAACACTGTCATTTACCTCCTTCCATTCACATCTACCCTCATTAATCAGTAAATACACACTCAGGGATGCTTGTGTTTCCCTGAATGCAAAACAGCATCAAATGAATTCAGTCAGATATTTAGCTMCAGACCAGAGAGACAAACATGTGGCAGAAATGAGCTCTGGCTCATTTGCATGTTTTTATGTTCATGTGTCAGTCTGTTAGCAAAACATCTCATGAACAACTGGATGGATTTATTTTCTTACAGAAAGTAATCAATGAATGTAGATTTACAACTCATAATGTTTAGAGACAACACATTCCAAGATGGCCACTAGAGCTAGCCARTCACAGAAAAGTAAAAAGAGGATTTCAGTTTAAAAGTCTGATATGAATGGTAGCAGGGGCTATGCATTTCCCTAAAGAATCAGAATCAGAATACTTTAATGATCCCCGGGGGGAAATGTAATTATTACAGCTACAACCATTCAAGTAAGCATTAGAGATAAAGTATAAAGGAAGAATATCATGAGTAATGAACATTCTTAAGCGTCTATACAGTGTAAATAGAAATAACAACAGTGACTGTTATAAGACTGATGCAAAGGTCCCATCAAATWTAATTAAATGATATAAGAACAGGTGATGATAGTGATATTGCACAGGCTAGATTAAGGTATCGTAGATAAATAAAGAATGATTGGTCTTTAATTTATGCAGCTGAAAGTAAGAAGTTAATGTGATAAAACTGTAATTATACACGTGTTAACCAATGAGAAAAACTGTATTTCCTTTGAAAGTTAAATTAACAACAAAAGGAAAAGGCACAAATGATCCTACATCCAAAAGCACAGTGACCAGAGCAGGACAGAGGTCAGGCCGAGATGAATCTAGAAATAATTTGTTTTTTAACCTGGCCTGAAAAAGTAGCATAAAGAAGCTGAATGCAGAAACACCACCAAAGAGTGGCCTGGGGAGGCAATGACCACCCCTATCATTGATATATATTACTAATATATAATATATGTATCAATGACACCTATAACACCCCCCCCACCCCAGCCAAATAGTCCTAACTGCCTAAGTCCTGAATAAGGTCTACACCAAACAAAATACAAAATAAAAGCCCATGTCCTTATAATGATTCAGGAAGTCATAAATACATTTTATAAATATAAATTTAAGTGTTAAGTTTTCATGTTTCAACATCCTAATAAAACTCCTGAAATTCCATTGYCTTTTGTTTCCATTATTAGCAGACTCACTCTGACTAACCCCCTCTGAAACTTTCTGAAGGTGCCCATGCTTGATGATAGCTTTAAATCTAGTGTCTCAAAGTGTAACGTGTCAGAGGTTTTAGTTATAAATGATAACACCGTTTTAATAAACAGACAACATAATATTGACTCACTTGTAAATGTTGTAAGTTAGATTTCAAATTACTTGTCAGCTGGAACACAATGTGTCCATCATGCTGGGTCTATTTCCTTTTGTTTTTCCCCTCCCAGTGTCCAAAGATGTTCCTCAGGGATCTGTATTAAGTCCACCACTCTTCACTCTCTGAATTTCACTTTTTTTTGCAGATGATGCAGTCATTTATTGTTTATAACTCAAATTGTCAAACTTCTCCAACTTAAATTTCAAAACTGAATTCTTGAATTTTTTTTAAATTATATCTATTTTTATGTCTTATATTGTCAAGTATTTGGTCTTGCTCAGGGAAAAAGTGATCTCAATTAGACTTTTGTTTGAATAAATAAGAATATATACAGGAAAGGACACAACACTCATCCATCCATCATCACTCGTTCCAGCAKAGTGGAGTCACAGCAGAACGAGGGAGGCTCAGACACCCCCTTTCCACAGCCACCTCTTCCAGCTCTCCTGGGAGGACTTTGAGGTTCTTCCAGGCCAACAAAGGGACGTAGTCTCTCCACTGTGTCCCGGGTCTTCCCTGGACTCTCCTTCCAGTTGGACATGCCCAGAACATCACCTATGAAGGCATCCAGGGAGCATCCTTACCAGATGCCCGAACCACCTCAACTGGCTCCCCTCGATGTGGAGGAGCAGCGGCTCTACTCGGAGTCTCTCCTGAATAACTGAACTTCTAACCCAGGGGTGGGCATCGAGGACCACAGCCCTGCATGTTTTACRTGTTTCTCTGCTCCWACACATCWGATTTGAATGAATGGGTGATTATCAGGCTTCTTCAGAACTTGGAAGAGGTAATTTAATGACTGAATCAGGTGTGTTGGAGCAGGGAAAAAAGTAAAACATGCAGGGCTGCGACCCTCGAGGACCAGGATTGTCCACCCCATGGGAGAGCTACCTCATGTAGTGAATTCTTTTCAACCCCTTGTATTCATTGTCATTCTTTCAGCCAGTACCCAAAGTTGGTGAGCATATGTGAGGGTAGGAATGTAGACCGATCAGTAAGCTCAGCTCCCTCTTCACTCCAATGGACTACAATTCTGCTGAAGCTGCATAGTTATGTCAGTTTCCTCCTTCATTGTGAACAAAGCGTTAAGTATCTCACATGTAACGGATTTTAATCAAATCACTGGAAGTCCATTAAACGGTTCAACTGGCACACCTTTGGACAAACACAAGTCATGGATCCAATGCAAGGATTTCCAGATAAAGAAAACAAAATAAAACAAAACAAAAGCACTACAGACTTTGCAGATGTGAGCCAGAGCTCTAATTTTAGAAAAGCCAGATTTAAAGCAAAGAAGCAGCCRTGCCCTGATTCAAACCAGCTGGCTTGAAAGTTTCCAATAAAGCAAAAGAGATTAAAATAGTGTGAATGTTCCCCTTTGCATCGCACACTTCAAACTTTTATTCCCGTGAGTGCGGAGCACATTTTGGGTAAACACGAGAAGCGAGTTGTGAACCTTATWGTCTGAAGCAGGTTTGAACCAGTCACAGCTGTATGCAGACACAGAGAGCTGCACTGGGCCAGAAAACCAAACCCAGGAGCTGGAGGGTCTCTTGTTGTGCCTCCTTTGTTTTCTGGCCCTCCTCCTGCTGTCTTCCACTCGCAGCAGAGAGCTCCGAGCATCAATAATAAAGCCCCGCAGCAGAGAAAGAACTGAGGCAGCGGGACAACTTAATGCTATTCAGATACTAATTAACTAATTGAAAGAGCAAGGTCTTTAATTTTGGAGTAACTGATTTCCCTCCTCGAACCTCGGCAGAGAGTGTCCATCCTCTTTAAAACGAGGCGTAAAATCGAGTGTACAGTGTGAAATCTCGTGGCTCGGCCCCAMATTTGTCAACCATTTCAGGGCCGATTCAGCACCGGCAGCAACGAGGGCCTGATTTATTGTTGGCTTTTATTTATTTAATGAATGTATTTATTTGTCTGGAGTGGTCAGAGGTGGCGAGTCAAGCCCATGGGGTYAATCACATGAAGTTGTAAAGTGAGATGTTCCCCACATTCACACAGGCTGARGACGGAGCAGAACAGGCCAATGGATACAGACACAGAGATTCAGTGGAAAGATATAGACTCCATTTTTTTTGAGTCCTCCCCTCCAGCTGTCACCCCACTCGCCATCCCATGGGGGGTTGCCAAGGTGACAGGAGGCCACATGTCTTGGGGGAGTCGTTTTGGTCAAAGGACCYCATTGTTCTTGTGTTAAGCCGTCTTCACTATGCCCGTCTGCCAGGGACGGGGGGCTTCACACCACTTCCACACACATAATCTCATAAAAACACTCTCTCCCGCGCTTTTAGCTCATAAACACTCGCTTGTACACAAGCACAGCCCTTTGGTTGTGATCCTAAACTCTAAAAGACTGATTCTAACTGAAACTGAACTGAAATTAGTTAAAATACAAGTTACAAACAAATCCCACTGAGATCACAGCTCTCTTTTTGTGAGGGAGGCCTGGGCCCATACACGTTGTTGTACTGTGGGAACATGAAGAAAACCCACGCTAACATGAGAACTCCATACAGAAAGACCCCTGGTCCAAGCAGGGCATTGAACCCAGGACTTTCATGCTGAGGTAAAATTACTAACCACTAAGCTGATATGCTGCCAATATGAAAAAAAAATGTAAAAATAAACTAAATGCTAGTTACAGTAGTTAAACACCGGCCTAAGTCGCAGCAATAGATCTGCTAAAAGTAGCAAAACATGATTCAAAGGTAGGACTGGTGGCTCAGCTAGTAGAGATGATGCCTCTGAGCAAGAAGGTTGCTGGTTTTCTCATACAGACCAAAAACACGACTGTTGGTTTAATTGGTAAGCCTAAACTGTCCCTGATGAGTGAAAGTGAATTGTTTGTCTCTATGTGTCCCTGTGATGGACTTGTGACCTGTCCAGGGTGTACCCCGCCTCTCACACAGTGACTGCTGGATATGGGCACCAGTGACCCTGAAAGGAAGAAGCAGGTATAGATAATAAATGAATGCAGGGTTCAAAAGTAGCAAAATGTTAGCTAAAGAAATGCCAAAAATCCAATTGAATAGATTTATTTAAATTCTGTTGTTGGCCAAACTGCATCACACAAAACAATAAGCAAAGTACAAGCTAACAGGAGCACAACACTTGCTGTAAAAGTAGAAATTATCTTAAAAAAAAGCTAAACGTTCACTAAAGGCAAACTAAAAACTAATGACAAAATAAAAACATAGCAAACTAGTTACAAGTAGCTAAAATAGGCCAGGTGTTGGCCTAAGATGACAAAAATAGAACAAATRTGCTGAAGTGAACTTCAAAGACAATGATTTTCTCTGAGATTTATTTTTTTTGAGAAATAAAATTGACAAGTTAAAAAAAAAGATAAAACCCAAGCATCATGAGATATTCTGAACATTTTTACATATGAATTATTAAAATAGCACAAAGTATACAGGAGTAGTTTCATGTAAAAAAGGGCAAAGAACAGGATGATTGTAGCATAAATGCTGAGTCAGAATTCAGTTTGCAAACAAGAACAAGTCTGATTCAGAGTGCAACACAGAACTCACTTTTAAAGAAAAAAAAATCAAATGAAAACTCTGAGTTACTTCCTCAAAGTCAAAATGGAACTCTACACTTCCTCTTCTGTTAAGACCCGCTCATCTGACTTCTGTTTTCGTTGATCCAGTTGGATGCAACTTTCCAAAGCTGCCACATGGTGGCAGTGTGGCCCCACTGCATCTAAACACATTACAGCCTCTGAGTCYGTCCATTTGTCTTCCAGTGGGGACACAGAAAAAGACCTTGGCACAGACAGGAAAGAGAGAGACAGAAACCTCCAGCGTCCTTCTGCCAAGTGACTGGCTTGATGTAAAGGGAGGTAGTCATTTACCCAGTGATGGATAGATTACAGCCATGCATCATTCGGGAAGCCAATCTTCTGATGTGAACTGAATTTGAAACTCAATTTGTTACTGCTCTCTCTGTTCYTCTCTGATAGATGAATATGAAAAGTAAAAGAGCAGCTGATTTGAATCTATAACTGGTGGAATGCAAGGCCGCGGGTCAATTTACTTGAAGTCATTTGGCTGATTTCAAAATGTAAATCAGAGCAGTCATTTACACAGCAGTTAATCCGTTTAAGAGCAGGAGGTCCAGGACTTGTGTGAGAGAGGAGGAGGAAAAGAAAACACTTGAACCAAAGCTGGAACGTCAAACTCACACACATTAGCTGTTTTATTGTTTGGATAAATTCCCTCTAAATGAATCTAACTCAGCAGATTAAACAAACCCATCCTGAAGTCACAAAGCTTCGACTCAAATAAACTACGTACAGTTCCACATTTTGTTACTGCTCGAATAAAACAAGTGTTTAAATCACACACAGACACGTAACTGAAGCAACCCAGATACCATAAATAAACAGCTGCTTATGTGAATTAAGAGGTACAGAGCAGATATTGATTTCCAGCTGCTTGATCTGATGACTTTGGAGGGGGGTGCTGAAGATGGACTGTGATTACAAGCTGAGTGGGTGATATTGACCAGGAGGTGGTCAGCAGAGATGATTGGCCTCTCAGTGTATTGACTAGCTTGGTTACCAGAGGGAAACTGTTAGAAATTAGTGGTCAGCTCTAATATTTCACAGGGAACAAATGCATTGATGGAAAATAATCAATGTCTTTGGAAATAAAATCCGAACAGGAAAACAGCTCAAGGATGTAAGAAACGATTAATTATCTCCCGTGAGTCAGTTCGTTCAGAGAGTTGGCTTGTGTTTCCTCAGGAAGTGGAGGGCGGGGACAGGCAGAACGCCACTGAGCCGGCGTTGGCGGGTCTTCCTGCGAACCTCCTTCATGGAGTCGGGGGAGGTGTGGGGCAGCCAGGCCAGTCCTGATGCGCCGTCACCGTGCTGGTTCCTCAGGCTGCGACGAACCGAGCTCTGTCCTCTTCTGGAAGCACGTTTGAAAACGTCCTCAACGTTAAAGTCGGCCTGCCATGGGGTGTGGTCTACACAGGACCCCCACCCCTTCTCCTGGCTGTCGGAGCTTGGCTGGTTCTCAAGCTGACTCTCAGCTTGCTCTCTTGGTCTGTTTTCCTCCTGGTGCTCCTCTGGGTACTTCTGTGGCTTCTGTAGGTTTGAGCTCCTTCTGCCTCTTCTCTGCTTTAGCTTTGTTTTTCCAGGTGTTTTAGCTGAAGTTACAGGAGGACCTGTTTGATCTGCTGTTCCTGTATCAGCGCAGGAAGCTGCTGCAGGAATCTGTGCATCAAGTTCCTCTGTGTCACCATCAATCTGTGGAGCATCACTGACCTCCTCCTGGTGCKCCTCTGGGTACTTCTGTGGTTCCTGTAAGGTTGAGCTTCCTCTGCCTCGTTTGCCTCTCTTCTGCTTTAGCTTTGTTTTGCCGGGTGTTTTAGCTGAAGGTGCAGGACTTGTTTGATCTGCTGTTCCTGTATCAGCGCAGGAAACAGCTGCAGGAATCTGTGCATCAAGTTCCTCTGCATCGACATCACTCTGTAGAGTGTCACTGGGCTGTGATGGAGTTCCTGCTGAAGCCTCAAGGCCACATGATGATTGTTGTTCAGAAAGCTGCTCTGTCTTTCCTCCTGCCTGATCCTGAGACTCCTGGCTGACCACACTGACCTTCCTCTGTCCTCTTCTGACTGCTGAGCTCAGACTCCTGTCATTTTTACCAGATATGGGAGTAGGGAAAGAATCCTGCAAAGTGTTTTCCGTGGCTTTTATCACAACAAAATTGTTTGCTGGAGTGTTATTTGCCACATCAGGGATGATGAGGGTCTYTTGATTTGGAGCTGTTAAAGAATGAGGACAAAATAATCAGGAAACTTTATTTCTTTACTGTCCCTCTGAAAGTCCTAAGTCATCTGGAAACAAAAATAACTACTTGGACATAAAACAATAGCCAAGTCACTGAATACAAGAATAAATACTAGGTGTAATTTTTTCCCACAAACTCAACATTACTGAGTGTATTTTCAGATTTTACCAGGAGTCTGCTGTGCTGCTGGCACCTGGCTGCCGTGGGACAGCCTCTCTCTGATGGGAGTCAGACCCGGGCTCTTGGAGAGGTACTGCCGTGAGCCRTACAAGGAGCGGTCTACATCTTTGTCCCAGCGACGGGCTGCTGAGCAGGCCTTCTGTAGGACAGAAAGTTACAGCTGAATTTTCTTGGTTGACCACAACTCTTTAGTCCTAAAGCAAACACAAAAATAATGCTCCACCATATCAAAACTGGCATTTGGTCACCTGAAACGCTACTGGTCCGGACAAGGTAGCTGTTTATGCCAGAAATTAATGCTGGGTGATATGACCCAAACTTTATATCACAGTATTTTTAATAATTATTTTAGTATCACAGTATTTGACTGTTTTTCATTTCATTACAGCTCAGTTGATAAAAAATGTAGAAATGTTGCTTATTGATCAGCAAACTGCAGTAAGCTGAAGTTACTCTCTTTCTGCAACACAGAAACTATTTCTTGACTTGCACTGTACCTTAGTATGTGTCACTAGTCGTGTTTCCATCGTTTATTAATGCGCATTTTGAAGTATCATATCAGAAAATGTGAATGGAAAGGGCATGATTCGAAACTTCCTCTAATTCGTATAAAAGTTGATACGCTCCCTTGAGGTGTTTTGTTTTAAAAGGGTTAATGCGCAAAAGGAGAGATAGAAACACATTTGCCGAATCAGTTCTGACGTAGCGAACATTTACCTCACATGGTTGATCAGCTGTTCCGACTGTCTGAATGGTACCGGACCGGTACCAGAGCGACTGCAGCAGGACCCTCCTCCTGCTGTCGGCGTATTCTCAGTTATTCCCGTAACGTGAAGAGAATCGCATTTCTGTCTCTACATCTTCWGACAGCAGTAACATCGCCAAAACTAGTTGATGACAGAATAATTACAACTTTCCCGATAGTAGCAACACGTTCCTGATAACTTCTCTCCATTGTCCTGAGATGTGACTTTTACTTCCTGTTTACTACACATGCGTCTGAAGTAACTGATTCGCTTCAAGCCAGTCGATGGAAACACATCTGATTTGCATTTCTTCGTTTTTTTCCTTTTTGCGAAATTTTAAAAATTTGCTCAAAATTCGAATTAAAATTGGATGGAAATACGGCTATTGTTTACCTCCTCTACATGTCTCTTCAATCAATCAATATCAATATCCGATATAATTATTACTGCTATGGCCGATAACCGATATTTACCGATACGGGCTGTTAGGTCCCTGTACGACAGGWGTCAAGAGTTTGGTCCACATTGCTGGTAGTAAGTCAGACTTGTTTCTGGTGAGAGTTGGACTCCTCCAAGGTTGCCCATTGTCACCAATTCTGTTCATAACTTTTATGGAAAAAATTTCTAGGCACAGCCRAGGTGTTGAGGGGATCCTTTTCGGTGACCTTAGGATCACATCTCTGCTTTTTGTGGATGACGTGGTCCTATTGGCTTCATCAGATTGTGATCTCCAGCTCTCACTGGAGCGGTTCACAGCCGAGTGTGAAGCGGCCGGGATGAGGATCAGTGCCTCCAAATCTGGGACCATGGTCTTGAGCCAGAAACCGTTAGGTTGCCTTCTCCGGGTCGGGGAGGAGGTCCTGCCCCAAGTGGAAGAGTTTAAGTATCTCAGGGTCTTGTTCATGAATGAGGGAAGAATGAAGTGGAAGATCGACAGGTGGATTGGTGCTGCRTCTGCAGTGATGCRGGCRCTGTACCGGTCTGTTGTGGTGAAGCGAGAGCTGAGCCAGAAGGTGAAACTCTCGATTTACCGGTCGGCCATTTATCGTCAAGTAACCTGACATTTTTAATTTGTTGCATCACTGTTTAGAAGTGATAGTGTAATTGTGGGTGATTTGTCCAAAACCTCCAGGTATATCTGCTGATTTCAGATGCTCTGTCCAGCTCAAGCTCTAATGCTACGTTCACACCGAATGCATTTTGAGCTGCAGGAGCGTCCAGTTTACATGCAAAGTCTACAGTGGACCCGTCTCTAGGGGTCTTGCGGAGCATCTAGGCCAGGGGTGTCAAACTCCAGTCCTCGAGGGCCGCTATCCTGCATGTTTTAGAGGTTTTCCAGCTCCAACACACCTGATTCAGTGATTGAATTAACTCTTCAAATTGGGCAGAAGCCTGTTAATCACCCAGCGATCAAAATCAGGTGTGTTGGAGCAAGAAAACCTCTAAAACATGCAGGATAGCGGCCCTCGAGGACTGGAGTTTGACACCCCTGATCTAGGCCGTTTAGCACGGCATTCAGGGAAGCAGAAGGTGCGTTCGAGCGTTTTCGTGTATTCGGCACATCCAAAGCATCCGATGCTCGAGTTCAGAAATCTGAACTTTTGCTGCTTGACGTGCGGCGTCAACCAATCAGAGAGAATCATTTTTCCATGTGACGGTTTCCTGAATGTTGCCTACTAAACCGAAACAGACGGACAGGAGCTCTTTAGCTGAAATAGGCTGTAGTTGGTGTTCTGACTGGAGATATCAGCACCGATGTGGGTCAGCAGCTCGTTAAACTGACCGCAGTGTTAAACTGGGCTTGGGACAAAAAAATAGTTTGTCAGCTCGCAGCTCCTGGAGTGGTGAAACTAACGCAACAAACCACCTCTAAATTATCTGGTGAATTAATTATCTACTGTGCAAAACATTTGCTTGCTCTTTAGTAAATAAAGCAAAGCCATTTTCTTTATTTTTATTTCATCTGCTGAAGACAGACTGGAAAAAAAAACAAGAAACTCCTCCCGCTTCAGACGCTCCTCTAGTCTCTGTCCTAGTCTGAATGTAGTGTGTCCAACTGGAGGCGTTGGGAGCATTTTTGCTGCTCAAAACCTGTTTGGTGTGAACGTAGCATCAGCTTTTGTTTCCTTCACTGCCTCAGCTCAGCCAGTCCACGTAAAGAAATCTGCTGACATCAACATCGCACAATACTCTGTTCTACCCACTTTGAACCACTGCAGAGGTGCTTCTGAAAACACGGTTGGAACCGGAAATGGAGACTTACATGATCAAAGCTGAACCAAGAAGACCCCCATATACAGGTACGCCTGTGTAGATGGGGCTTCAGTCATTCAGATAGGAGCTTTCAAAAACTTTGATTCCTACTCAGTTTCAACCCGATTCACAACTTCATGAACGTCTTCAGCTTCAGAACAGAAGTCCAGCTGTTTGTTATTTGGATTGAGTTTCTGTGTTTCCACTCAGTGATTTGTGTGAGATTTTACAACCATCACACATCCAGAGGGGCACGTGACAGGTCTGTTGAAGAAATCTCACAAAGTTGAGTTAACAAAGTTGATGCAAAGACACGAGCGACTCACCTTCATCTTCCCGCAGGCTGACTTGGCTGCAGAGCGCATCGACCTCTTCACAGGCTCCTGCTCGTCCCACTGCTGGAAGAACAGAAAGCAGACCTGAAGCTACTCTCTCTGTCGTGCCCACTCACACACACAATGTAAAAGTTTTAGGGTGAAAATAAGTTCAGATCCAGTGGAATTAAAGAATGGATTACATGGGAATGTGTTATGACCTCTGAATTATTACAAGTCTAACTCATCTGGCAAATGGATATTTCTACAAATGAGATGAAGCCGTGATAGTTTGTGGTAAGGGCAGACCTTTCTCTTTCTGTTGCGGGAGCACCCTCCAGGCTCAGTTTTACGTTCCTGTTTGCTCTGAAATGGATGGAATTCACAAGCTTTGTTAAATTGTAGAAAACTTCCCAGTGCAAGTTGTGGCAGGAGGTTATACATATTTTATGAGAAAGTGAACTAAAAACATTTTTAATTGCTGCAGACCTTTCTCCTTCTGCTGCTGGATCGAGCCGGAGTTGGACTTTTATCATCTGCTTCAGACCGATCCTCCTCTGACACAGATTTACACTCGTCCATGTGAGAACTGTGACTGGATGTGGTGTCAAACTCTGAGGGAAACAAAGTCAGAAAAATACCTGGACTTAGATAAGCGTTGCAAGACATTTGAAAAACAACAGGTTATTCCTGAGGTTTTAATGATTTTGATATAGCGAAGTTCAAATGCTAAAGGAACAGTAATGTCTTATATTTGTGTGACTTTGTTTTGTTCCATTAGAAAAAAACTTGATAGAACTGGGATGCAGCCAAGCAGAGTTGTGTCATAAACAGACTAAATCATCAGGAATATGACTATATAGTGGGCGCTCTAGGCCAAATTGTCCTTGCAGGGGTACGGTGGCCTCTCTGGGCGGCGGGCCGGCTGTGGGGCAGGGGGTCAGTTCTTGGGGGTCTTGGCAGCTCTGGGGGGGAGGACTGTTGGTCCCGGTTTCTGGTGGCCTTTGGGGCTTAGTCCGTCCCTGATCTGGGGTTCCATGGACTTGGCAGTTTGTCTGGAGGGAGAGGTATTTGGGCTGCTCTTCCTGGGTGGATTTCRGGGAACGAGAGGGCTTACTGGGGCCAGCGGGGGAGCTGACTCCCTGTGGGAGCATTTTGCTCCTTCAGTTATTTTTCTCCCCATCCCTCACCGCACACCTCCGCCCTCTTCATTTTCAACTCCACCCATGCAGGTTTTTTTTGGGGGTGCAGGTGTGTTGTAAGAGCAACAATTTTACATCTCTATTTGCCATAACCACCTGGGTCCCAAATTTTATTGTACATCTTAGACATTCACTCATAACATTTTCATGACATTCACATATAGGAACTTGGGGTGGGCACTAATGGCTATAGGTGGTTGGATGGCACCACTCTCRCTTACTGTGCATGTGCCCACCACTCCCAAGGTTTGCATGTAGACACTTAGGGTTTTGGRTTAGAGTAGTGGTGGAGGGGAAACTGGCACCAMGCCGGCCTCTCCCTCTTCTTCTTTCCCTTTTTAATTGCTCTATAGAACAACACGCACCAACAGTACATCCGGGGGTGGGGGTGTGGGTGTCAGGATCTTTACTACCCTCCTGTTCCCTGGCTTCCATTTGGGGAGGGGGTCCTGAAGAAGGGCAGGCCGCCGGGTGTCGTCCTGGGCTGTGGGTGGTCTCGGAGTGTTGCTGGGGTTGGGGCTGGCTCTCCATCCTCCCTAGTGCTGCCTGGACTCCTGGAATGTGGCTGTGGATGCCCAGCTGGCCGGGGTGGCTGCCGGGTTCCGTTGGGTGGTTGGCTGGGGGTGTGCGCTTGGCCGTTGGCGGTGTGGTGGGATGGGCATGGCTTTTCTGCGGCGGGGGGCTGGCCAGGCGGCCTGGTGTGGCCCGGGATGGGCTACGGCTGTCAATTCCTCTCCACCCCAGCATGATTGGGTCTACCCCCTGGGTTCGGGTGTGTGTTGCCTCCTGTAGGGAGTGGGTACWTGTCCTGGACCTGGGAGGTATAGAGTGTGTATCGGGAGTATGAGTGGAATGCGACGTCCTTTTTGTATGTCTTTGAATGAGTGGGTGTGAGGATGAGGGTGGGATGGTGCGATTTTGTATGTTTGGGTATTTGTCAGGCTAGGGTCTGGGCCACTCCCCCCCTGCTAGTTTATATGAGGCCCACTAGGGTTAGGCATAATCGTATCGTGTACAATTAATCATCAGAAAAACATGGCTTGGGGGCCAGGACCTCTGTGCACTTTCCTGGATCTGTTCTGGTGTGGCGGGTGCCGGTGGGGCCCATGAGTTTGTCGCTGCTGGTCCCAGGGGTTGTGCGTGTGGTCGCTGGGGGGGACTCTCCCAGTTCTCCCCTATGGTCTGATCTGGGGGGTGGGTGGGCAGATCTTCCCGTGCAGGTGCCCCAGGGGAGTCTGCGCTCAGGATCCCTCTCGGGTCTTTGGGCTCTGGTCTTYCCTATGTCTGCCTCGTGTCTTRGGGGTTGGGTCTCCGGTCCTCCACAGTCACTATTAAATATTCCATTGGAGAAATCTTGTATGTACACGCATGTTCACAACTGCTCACAAACAGGTGTTCTGATCCGGGGGGTTCTGACTGGTCACTGATTGTGTTTATATGTCTGTGTGTATATATCTACAGTATGCATGAATATATGCATGTAGAGTACGTATGTATATATCTATATATACAGCATATGTGTATGGGTATGTGTATATATTTATGTATGCCATCCGTTTATTTATCCATTTATTTTTAGGTGAGCGGACAGATGTTGGGTGTGTGGTCCTGTGTTTTCTTGGTGTATATTTAATATATTTCTAACCTCTATTTCAATCTTTCAAATTACATTTTCTCTTTGGTTTTCCCTCTTTTTCTATTTTCTCTTTACTTAAAAAAATCACTGATGAAGAAATTAAGAAACTAATATTAAGTTCTTTTTTTCTACTGAAGTGATTAAAAATAAATAAATAAATAAATAAAATAAAAAAGGAATATGACTATATATGAGGAGTCCTCCAGATTTCCCATTAAGAAAATTGTAGAGTAAAAAATACAATGAATTCTGTCAAATTTTAGGTAGTTTTTGGTAATACTTTAAATTACAAACATTGTGCACAAAAGATGCAATACACAGAATATTTTTTTATAAACTATTGTTCCGTTTTTATTTTTTCCCTACATTTAAACAACACAAATTATAACTAGTCATACTAGCACAATGAAGCACAGATGTCTGATCATTTTATTGTTACTGATTTCTGCTAGTGCAGAAACTAATCCTGGTCCAGTTTCAGTGTAAAGTACCCCAGATAATTAGGATCAGCCTTGAATATGTGTTATCGTGTTGCAAAAATTGTTATTTTAAGATCCATCCTGAACAAGGAGATAATCATTACTAGTTCTACTGCTTTTAGGCCAGACAGACTATTGCATACATAGAAAGGTGGAAGTGTTACCATTATTAGAGGTTTCTGAATCATTAGCACAACACTGAGTTTTTAAATCAGTGGCTCTACAGACCTCTAACTCTACACATTACAAGTACTSGCTGTTATAGTACAGCGTATTGTAAGTCTGAATGCTAAAGATTTACTGATTCCTGGAGAGTTTAATTTACACTGGCTACAACCTGCTTCAGGTGAACTTAAAGCTCGTTGGGACATATTAATCTTTTTCAAATTGTTTCAGTTCCAATTGAAAACAACCTGAGAAATCTTCCCCGACTCATCTTCTATTACTCCACATATTTACTACAACATCTTTATTTACAAATGACATCATGATACCTGTGTTATTACAACAATCAGGAATATGAAGGAAAGCTAAGCTGTAAATTGTTATTAAACAAGATATAAAACATTATTCAGAACAAGCTTTTACTCGTGAATTGTAGCATTTTAACTGAATGAGAATTAGTTCAATTGCAGATGTAGAAACATCGCTGAATTTTGGTTTCAGTAAAATAGTGGATAGTCATGCTCCATTCAAGAAAAACAGAGTGAACGGTCGTAACGACGCATGGTTCACTCCTACATTGTCAGAATTACTCAAAATACAGAAAACAGATTTAGACTGATTAGCTGACTTAGAAAATTGAGAAATACAACAGCTGTCAATATTTGTGACAGGAATATCAAATAACCTTAATAACCAGCAGAARATCTGGAATAAAATCTTAATGAAGACAAATAATTTGGTGTTCACTGTGTATCTCGAAGGACTTGAAAGTAAAAAAGCATCCTGAAAATGTTTCTTGTACACAAAAAGATCAAAAGTAAATAACTTTTCCAACTTTTTGTAACCGTTTTAAACAAACAAAGAGACAATTTTTAGAAAAAACCAAATTACCATTCAACTGAAACTACTGCAGCTGAGCTCATTTGTAGCTGACCTATAACAGCAGAACACAGAAAAATAAACTAATAAATTTGAAAACAGAATTTTGTTTAGTTTACCTGTCAGAACCTCAGAAAGAGGCTCATCCTGAGAAGCCRTGTTTAAAGTTAACAGCTGGACATCCGGTGCACACACTGAAAAGRTAACATGACAAAAATTACTTAGCACAAAGAGCTACACTGCAGCAGAAAAATAAACTATTGGAATCAGTTTGTAAAAATCCACCTGAATCACTCATCATGGCAGAGTCAAACTCCTCCATAGCAGGGAAAACAATCTAAGCAGAAACAGAAACAGTTTTAGTCCTGACTAACATCTATACTTGTACATCCTGGTACTTCAATGAACACATCCATTATAAATAACTCTAAAGGAGTTAGCAGCATTAAAAACTAGCAGTTTTGTCCTAATTGTGGATGATGWGGGGTGTAATGCAGATGCTACAGCCACTAACATCTTAAATTCTGTTACCAGGTGAGTCTCCTACCTTTCTGTCCTCATCGTCTCCTTCTTCAGACAACCTTCTGAGCTTGCGGGGCATCAAAAGAGTAGGGGAGGCGCCAAACCCAGTGGGGCTGAAGGGTTCGGGTTGATATTGCGGCTCGTTAGATTCGCTGCTCTGTGCCGTCTTCAGCAACGAGCGCAGCTGTAAGCTCCCACCAGGAGTGGCTGCTTGTGCTGGGGTGCCCCCCTTATGTAACGGAGTGTCGGCCGGTAAGTTCTTATCAAAGAACTCCGGAGATAAAGGCCCTCCGAAGTGAACCTTCTTCTTTTTCTTCACTGCAGATGTCCTGGTGAAGTCATCTTCTTCTGCAAGATAAAACAGGATCCTTTAATGCACAAATAGAGATGTCTTATTTAAAGTCTTAAGAAGAATGTGAAGACATTTCAGTTATTAGAAGATACAATGTATGACATGTGTGTTTAAATAAAAAACAATTAGAAATCTACTGATTCTACTTTATAAAACAAAAGTGCTAATTTTGCCTTGTCGTGTGTGATATCAGAGAAAAAAGGAAGCTGATTCATGAATCAGCATCAGATGTTTGTTCCTCTGAAGGAAACCTGGTATCTTTTTAATCTGCTAGAGTTAATGAGTTTTATTACAAACAGGCCAGCATCAGAAAAACACTTAAAACATTTGAGCACAAATATATTTAGCAACAACAGAATAATAAAATACTAAAGACTAGACTATAGTCAAAAACATGCAACAGTGAACCAAACCTCGAAGGCAAAGACAAACTTCTGTCTTTACCTGAAGGTTTTATCTCCAGAAGAGAAGAGACGGGGGAGACGTGCAGGGGAGCGGAAGCAGCTGCAGGACCACCAGAGTCTGGTGGGTCGGGGCTTTGGTGTCGACTAACAGCATCCTGTTAGGAGAGAATGACGAAGACCTTCCAAGAAGCTGTATAGTAGTTCAATGAACATGGTAATTATGTTGAAACACCGGTTATCTAATGTGTATGGAAATGGTATTAAAATATGAGAAGGCACTGGTATCATGCTATATTAGGACAAATGTAAATTAATTATTTTAATTACACACATTATTTTGCACATAGAAGCAGAGGGAGCAAGTGATCTAGTAAAGAAAAGCTCTTCAGACTGAGCTTTAAACAATCTGTAAGCACTCTCTCTGTTCAGTTAACATCTTTTTGGAAATCACTRCACCGATGCAAATACATTTTTTATAAATTTCAAACTGCTATCTTTGACAATATTCAATGTTTGAACTTAAAAGTGTTTACACCAGGAAGCTGGAATAAAACTGAAAATTTAACTTGATTTTATATAAAGGTTTGCGTTTAAAATGTCTGAATAATAAGTAGGTATGTGTTATTTGGGTAGGTGCACACAAATATTTTTAAACTGCCTAGAAAAGGTTTTCTTAAAGCCTCTGGAAACTTTTCAAGACCACTTTCAAAGAAAATAATAAAAAAGAGCTCATTAGATGTAAGATTTATTAAATGAATAAAAAAAGGGGTGAGGACCTTTACACATAATTTAGATGAAAGTGTGAAAAATAAATAAGAATGATTTACAACCCAAATTATAATTTTATCAGATGAATGCTGAGTTTGAAAAGTTGCTGTGATTTGAGTTTAATTAGTAGAAAAATATTTACAAATTCAGATGAAAGATTTAATTTTTTGTATCAAGACTAATTTAAATTCTTATTGAACGGCTCCAGATATTGAAACAAAGAATGAAGGATTTGTGGTGCAGCAGGACACAGTACAGCCCGTTAAACTAAAAGTCAACTCTTCAGCTCAGAGCCTGTCTCAATATTTGGCAGAATTTTGAAAAATGTCTGCTATGAATGCAAAAAGAAAAAGTGACACACCAGCGGCAGGCTCCAGTGTGGTGGAGTTTTATCAGCTCAAGCAGCTGATGGCAGCCGACATGCTTGAAGCTGATTTTCTGGACGTTGAGGTGAGCAGAGGTCTGAGYGTTCCTGCTGATGTCTCAAGCAGAACTCTGAGCTCTTACATAGAAACAGAACCATTTGGAGACGTTTAGAACAAATTTACAGACTCCTCTAAACGAGTCCTGTTTTTAAAATCATTGCTCAAATGAAAYCCAGTACTGAGCATGCAGCCTGTTAAAGTAACTGCATGTGAGCAAACTGAAACTGTTCAAAGTAAAGCCTAATGGTGCGTTCACACCGAACGCGATTTCAGCTTCAAAATYGCAGCCAACGCTGAAGTTTGAAGCTTGTGCACTTTGAGGTCAGACGCAGGACAGCTGCGCTGCACGGCGACAGCCGCCCCGCCCCTCCCTCCTCTGTGGGGCTGTTTAATGTCGGACGAGGAAGAGGCTTTGCTTTATTTACAGAGAGCAAGAGCATGTCACGTTCATCAGATAATTAATTCATAATTAATTCACCAGATAATTCAGAGTAGAGGCTCACAACTCACTTTCAGGACTATTTTTCCAGTCTGATGAGTCGCTGCCACGTATTGCTGCAGATCAGGACACGACTGCAGGCACTCATTTCAGCTAAAGAGCTCCTCTCCGTCTGTTTCAGGTTAGTGGACATCATTCAGTAAACTGTCCCGTCGGGAAATATGTCGCTACGTCACACAGTGGAGTCTCTCTGATTGGTTGACGCTGCGCTTCGAGCTGCAAAAGTTCAGATTTTCTAACTTCAGCGATTTGCGCCTCAGCGCGTCGAACGCTCAGATCVTTCAAATCGTTCAAATTGCGCTGCTCTAATCGCGCTTGAGGCGCCGCAGAACTTCCCGACGTTGCTTGAAGCGCGTCCACCATAGACTTTGTATGTAAACGCACCATAACCCTAACATTTTCTCTCTGCCCACAAATAAAATGTCAAAGATCAGAAAGAGAATCTCTTCTGCAGACATAAACTGCATTTAATATTGGAGGAAGAGGTCAACTTTAGTGAAAACAAATAAACGTTAACAAATTTGTTTATTTGGATGAAACTTCAAAATAAGAGCATTTGAATTTATTTCTATTAAATCACTTATTTAAATGACAAAAAGGATGTGATCAAACTGATGCAACTTTACAAAGTGAACATTGCAGTTTTGTTTTTAAATTCCCAGATTTATTTTGTTGCTTTATCATCAGAGATCATTTTTTATAGAATTGTGTCCTCCCTGCCTGACTTGTTTTTTTTTAAACGTTTTATTGAAAACAGCCCCCACTGACTTTCATCCKTTAACTTGTAGAGCTTTATAAACCACTCACTTGGTTCTTTATGGTACTATGAACCTTGAATTACAGTCGCTATGGTGCCACTTTGGTATACCATTTGTAGCACAACTTTGTTGAGCTTGAAACATGGATTTTCACTACATTAAAATACAAAATGTGCAGCTTAAAACAAACAACAACAACAAACAAACAAAGGTCTGACAAATGTAAAAAATAAGAATGCCAATGGGATGCAGGGGTTCAACAGAAATACTGAACACTGACAAGCTGTTGGTTTATTTCAGATCATTATCAGTTAAATGCTAAGATGAAGCACACATCACTTGTTGTAAACTTCATGTTTACCAAAGTGTTTCTCCCAAAAGAGCAGAAAACAACTGATGCATTAGAGTCAAACTCACTTTTTCCTTTTAAAACGAGACTCAGATCTTACAAATAASAAAACTTCACTGCATTATAGCTGAGTGTGGAGAATATTACTGTTGTTATTCTGTTCTGAGGAATAATTAATTGCTGCCAGATGAGCTGCAATTCTATGCTGCAAACATTGTCCATCTAAGTCTTATAATCTTATATTCAGCCAATGATTAATATATTAGCCTGGAACTTTTTCCTTATTTCAAGAAGTCTTATCAAGTGCAATTGTCGTACTGCACTGATTCAGATTATAATCTAACCATTTTTTAAACTTTTTTTAGATGGCTACGGTAATCCTACAAGTTGTTCAGATATACTTAAATGTAAACATTTTAGCAGTTGTATCTACAGCCCTGAATAAATCCAGACCAGAAAATGCTCAGCTGGTATAAGCCGGAGCTCAACGCAAGAATAACAGCTTAGCCAGAGAGCCGACACAGGTATTATCTCTAATTATGAAGCACTGTTTTGCCTGTTTAAGTACACATTTCGAGCACTTTCTTTTTTATATATAAAAAAGAAAAAACTCACTTGTTAAGAGGGTGAAAAAAAGTCTTCTTACGTAAAGCTGAGCTCTGAAGCAGGTTACACATAAAGGTCTGTCTGGTTACACCTGCTGTGGAGCTGCAGCTGAGACACATTTGATTAGTGCTTTGCTGCACTTTAAACCAGCAGTGTGCTTCACTAAGCCTGCGGGGAAAGGCCTTTAGATGTTTAATTTACAGAACTGTCTCAGCTTAAGTTACACTTATCACTTCATCACTCTCCACTCTGAAAATGTAAATGTCTCTGTCTGAATAGCTACTGTCACACGGCTGTGCATAGAAGTCTGTCTGTGATGATCTCACCCTGATCTGAAAATAAAAGTGCAAGTTTTTCTCTCTGAAAAAAGCAGAATATATATTYTTAGAACTGACCGAATGTTAAAGGCCATCTTTAGGTTAGAATGGCCGGCAACAGATTTTATTATAACGAGAAAATAAAATACAAACACACAACAGCTACAGTGAACAAATATGATTTAACATTTAGTTTCACTTCATCATTATGAATAGAATAAATCTTTGGCTACGTTCACACTGCAGGCAAATCCGACCCAAATCCGATTTTTTTGACCCATCTGACTCATATCTGATTTTTTTATGACAGTCTGAACGCGACAAATCAGATTTTTTCAACTCCGACATAGGCCGTTTCAGTATGTGGTTTTAAATCGGATATACACTCAC